ATAGCCCTCAGAATCACAGCAACTCAATCCACCACAGCACGACAGACAGACGTGTCAGCACTAACCATTTTCAAATCAAATCTTGTCCCTGTGGGTTGATGCAAACATCATATTCAGCCTAACCATGATCGATTATATACTTTGTGGGGCATAGTACAAAATGAAATGCAGAGTCACTTGTTTGAAAATTATGAAGAATTTCAAGATGGCAACAACAAAGCATCAAACCAAGTGCAGGTCACTCGAGAACGGGCCCATGACCCCGTCAGTGAGAAGATTCAATTTTACTTTTATAACATGACAACCTGCTTTGAATATGTTGTGTGGTAGATTTCTTTCTTAACTTTTTAATGTGAATTGGGTAAAGGTTTACAGCACAGATCCATTTTCCATTCAATAATTCATACACATTTTGTTTTATATCATTGAATGTAACATCACTGTGTTTTTTTGTTTCTTTCCTCTTTCCTTCCTAACCCTTCTGAACTTTGTCCTTGGATAGATGCTTCCCTTTTTATCATAAATGGTTGATTATTCTAAGGTGTGCATACGTACCTCACTAGTCATTGTTCCCCCTTATAGACCTGTCTATTGTTTGGCTGAAACTTGAGTCATGGGGATAATCATTTCCAGATGAAGGCTGACTAAGGGCCATTGTCTTGGGGTTTTACAAGTCTCTACTTGAGTCAGTTCTACCCCATAGTGACCATATAGAACAGAACCAAGCACTGCCCAGTCTAGTGCCATCCTTACAAATGTTAATACGCTTGATCCCATTGTTACTGCCACTATGCCAAGACATTTTATTGGAGGTCTTCTTTTTCATTGACCCTTCACTTTACCAAGAATGATGTCCTTCTCCAGCGACTGGTCTCTCCTGATAATATGCTATTTATTGGTCCAGTGGTGAGAACTTTTTTTTTTTTTTTTTTTTTTACATTAAGGGGCAACCCATAATGAAAGCTGTGGTCTTTGATCTCCATCAGTATTTTAAGTATTCTTTGCTTTCAGCAAACAAGGTTTTATCATCTGCACATCATAGGTTGCTAATGAGTCTTTCTCTAATCCTGATGCCACATCTTCTTCATATAATCCAGTTTCTTGAATTTTTAGCTCAACATACAGATTGAATAAGTATGGTGAAAGAACACAACCCTAGAGCACATCTTTCCTAATTTTAAGCCACTCAGTGTTCCCTTGTTCTGTTCAAACAACTGCGTCTTGGTTTATGTACAGGTTCCTCATGAACATAATTAAGTGTTTAGGAATACTCATTATCCTCAATGTTGTCTATGGCTTGTCATGATCCATACATTTGAAAGCCTTCACATAGTTAATAAAGTATAGGTAAACATCTTTCTGGTATTTTCTGGTATTCTCTGCTTTCAGCCAAGACCCATGTGACATCATCAATTATATCCCCTTCTACATCCTACTCTGAATCCAGCTTGAACCTCTGGCAGTTCCCAGTTGGTAGAATTCTTCAATGTCATCATCAGTGGCTTTAGTGGTTGGCACGTAAATTTGAATAAGAGTTGTATTAACTGGTCTTTCTTATAGGCATATGGATATTATCCTATCACGGACAGTGTTATACTTCAAGATATGATTAATGTGATGTTATTCCTCTTCAATTTGTCATTCCTGGCATAGTAAACCATGTGCTTATCAGATTCAAAATCACCAATACGAGTCAATATCCGCTCACTAATACCTAGAATACCAATGTTTATGTGTTCCATTTCATTTTTGACAACTTCCAATTTTCCTAGATACATACGTAACTTTGTCCATTCCAGGTTCCAATTATTAATGGATGTTTACAGCTGTTTCTCCTCATTTTGAGTTGTGTCCCAACAGCAAATGAAGTTTCCTAAAACTTTAATGTCATCACTGTCAACTTTACTTTGAGGAGGCAGCATTTCCGTAGCATCATTCTGAGGGTCTTCCAACCTGAGGGGCTCATCTTCCGGCACTACATCTAACAGTATTTTGGGTAGAGGGTAGAGACACAGGTTAACTTAGGTGATAGGGAAGGCAATCTACAACATGAGGGAGGTTAGCACAGGAAAGATGAAGGTAGTGGAAGACAACAGGGAGGACAGCAAGAGTTAAAGTAAATGGAGGTAGTTATCCGATGACATATGGGAAGGATTGCAATAATCGTAATGACACAAAGTGTATGGTTTGTTGAATGTAGGGCTGATGATCTATTCTGTACCCTTCACTTAATTAATAATAAAAAGTTGAAAACGTTACTATATAACATAAGCCTGAGTGGATAAGCAAAATGTGGTACGTAAAAACAATGGAATTCTACTCAGACATAAAGATAAACAAAATCTTGATACTTGCTACAGTATAGCTATTGCTGAATGAAATAAATCAAACACAAAAGGACTCTAGGTAATACTAAGAAAATACTGGGAAGTGGGTTCTCCTTCCGCTTCCACCTTCTCAGTGACCTGCTACCTCCCTTCCCGTGCTCCCGTCTATTTTGATTTTCTCAATTCCACGCCGATAGAGAATGAAGACTCCAAGCCGACTCCTAGAAGCTACACTCGTGACACAAGACCGCAGGAGTCAAAATAAATCTGAGGCCAAGTCTTTCGCGACTAAGCTCCGCCCACGATGTCCAGCCCGGGCCCGTAGCATGCTGGGACATATAGTCTTTGAAAGGACAGCTGCCTTCACCAAGTCTCCTCCCCCAGGCGTCCGACGCGATCTTTTACCCGCGGGACGCCGTGACGTAGCATTCCTCATGCCCTGCCTTCTCCCTAGTTCTTCCTTTCTTGAGAAGCCCAATTCCGGATTTTCGAGTCCCTTTTACGTCACCCAGGTCTGAGTTGGTCCCGGCGCCGGTCTACTTTTCGGCAAAGTGACGTGGACGTCAACAGCAATGGCGGCAGAAGAAGAAGTCCTGCCACTGTCAATGTCCAGCGACGACAGCTGGTGAGTGAAAACCCGGGCTGATTTCTATTGCCCTTATGGCCTTCCTTTCGTCTGGTCACCCTGTCCGTCCCAGAGACACTGAGAAACCCTGGCCTGGAACGGGAAGACTGTTCTCGGCGTAGGTCCGGTGCTCCGCCCCGCCCCCTCTACTCCCAGAGTGGTGGGGACGGGACGCGACCAGAGAGGGGTGTGGACAGGGGGCTCGGCTGCGTCCAGTTTGCCAGCTCTGGCCACGCTTCTCCTGAATATGCTGGAGAGGTTGGCGGCTAGGTTGGTTAGGGCGGAATCCCTGGCTCAGGGAATTGGAGTAGGCTGCTTGAGAAGGAAGTTTTTCTTGATTGTAATTCAGAGACACTGTGGAATTCCACTGTGACCTTTGGCTGAAGTCTACCCAGGGATGATTCCTTCCACATAGTTAATTAATTTTTTACCCTAGTTTTTAATCTCTTGTTTCTTATTCCAACAATCCACCGTTCATCTTTTTGACACAAGTCATTTTTCTTCCTACTACTTTGTCACATCTCGATTTTCAGTTGGATGCGGTGTGTATGGTGTTGCTCCGGAGCCTTTGCATGCTACTTGGTTTATATACAAGGTTGTGGGAGGACATAAAAATTATTTTTGGTAGGTTTTAGCCCCTCAGTGTCGTTAATCTTTGGGAAAGGCTCCAACTTTGGAACTACAATACACTTTTAGAGACAACGCTACTAAAAAAATACACCCTTTACATGCTTGTGGAATTTTTACAGTTGACGGAAGTGTATTGACCAAATATGTTCGTTTTAGATTTGCTTGTTCATATCATGTGTATACAGCTCATTGGCATCTGTTGATCTGAAAATAGTACACAGGACATTTGTGGATACCGACTTTAATCCCTGAGAAAAAAGATTGGAAACCATTGAAAGGGAAAGATATGTAGTCATTGACAAGTCCAACACTCAATTAGCAGACGTTAAACATCACGTTAGCAAATGTCTGCCAAGGTGTAGGAGGAAAACTTAATGTGACCCAGATGTGGTTTCTTTCCTCATTTGGCATGTACTGGAATTGGGCAACTGTGATAAATAATACACTCATTAACAAAGTAAAATGGCCCGTTCTATGGGTGTGAATTAAAGTATTGTGGCAGTTCAGCTGAGGGACAAACCACTTCCAGTGGGAGTCTTTACATCAGTTGGTAAGTGTCATGGAAGCAGAGATATTTGAATTAGGTCTTGAAGAATGAGTTAAGATTTAGACCAGCACTGTCCAATAGAAATATGCGGTGGTTTCAGAAGTTAGTGGGAAAATGGAATGAAAAGATAATGGAATTTTTCTGTGACCTTTTTGAACTCCCACCCACCCCCATGTATAATGTGAGCCATATATGAAAATTAAAATTTTCTTGTAGCCGCATTAAAAACTAAAAAAACAAAATGAGGTGGAATTAATTTTAATTATCTATTTTACTTCAATGTTTCTAAAATCATTTCAACATATCTCCAAAATCTGTTGTTATTTTACATTTGCCTCTGCATCTCAATTTGGTCTGGCCATCCTTCTATTTCAGATGCTAAATAGTCACACAAATAGGGTTTCCAAAGAATGACTTTGTGATTAGCAGTCCAGTGCTTATGCTACTGCCCCGTACAAGGAGAGTAGAAGTCATAGTAGGACACCTCAAGTTATCTCCATTCATGAAAATTAAAAAGAACAAAAATGCAAAATCACCTACTACTACCTATTACTTACTACCATTGAGTCAGTTCCAACTCATAGTGACTGTGGGACAGAGTATAACTGCCCCATAGGGTTTCCGATATTATCAATACAGACTGAGGCTGCCTTGCACATCTGGCTGATGGGTTCTAACTGCTGACCTTTTAGTTAGCAGCCTGACTCTTTACTCTACACATGGTTGCTCCTGGTGGTGGTGGTGGTTTATGTGATGTGGAGGTGGTTCTGACTCATAGCAACCCTGCTTACAGTTTCCAAGGCTGTAAATCTTTATGGGAACAAAAAGCGTCATCTTTCTCCCATGGAACAACTGGCAGTTTCAAACTGTTGACCTTGAGGTTAGCAGCCCGACTTTTAACCTCTACACTACTAGTGGTCAGCATATTGGATAGTGCAGTAAGATTAAAAGATGGGAAGTCCTCATGAGGCAACAGCATGAGCAAGCACATAGGCAAGAAAACAAGTGTTATATTTGAAGAGTAATGTCTAAAACTGCATGTCTGAAGAGAAATTGCAAATATCTATGAAAAAAGATAGTCATTTTTTCAACCCATTAATGTGCCCTTGATGAAATCAGTGAATAAAACATGCAAAGCTTTTCAGAAAGTTTATAACATGAAATTTGCTGTTTGGGAAGAGCAAATCATATCACAAACTGACAGTATTGAGTAGTTCTAGAGTGCCAAGAGGAGAGATGTTTCTAGAATTAAGTGTCTTTGGGCAATTCTTAGATTTGGTTGGGAGGATAAAGAGCACCTGTCTAATTCAAAGGGACAAGGGACACAGTTGTTAAAGGCAGCATTTGCTCTCGTCTAGGTTTGCTATATCTTTGTTGTGGCTTTGCATTTTTGTTATTTTTAACTTTCATGAATGGAGGAAACCTGAGGTGCCCTGCTATGATTTCTTTTCTCCTTTTTTGGCATTGTAGGACAAACACTGGATTGCTAACTGCAAGGTTTGCAGATCAAACTCACCAGCTGCTCCTTGGAAATCCTATGTAGGGTAACTCTGAGTCGGAACTGATGTATCAACACTTAGCTACCACAATTTAGCCTCTTTTAAAATCTCTCCATTTTCCCTCCTCAACCCCCTCACCCAGAGTGAATTTGAATAGAGCCAGGGACTGAGAACCATAGATAGGCCCAGTGTAGCCTCTTCCTTAGACAGCTTGGTGAATAGATTATTAGGAATGGGAGGCTTCACTCTTTCTTTTTGGAAAAAAAAGTGTTAGTACATTTTTATTTTTACTTTCCCAAATGGAAATTTTTTAGAGTATATTTTTCAGATTAGGATCATTCCTTTTATAAACAAAAATGTATTAACACTATGACACTGTCCTCAAGGAACTACTGATCTAGTTAGGAGAGGCACATTTAAGAACAATTACAATGTGCTACTTACTATAGGGTGATATTGGAGTCCTGGTGTGGCTCTGTGGGGCTAATGCATCATACTGCAAAGTTGTTTGAACTGCAAGGTTGGTGGTTCAGGCTCACCAACTGCTCCTCAGAAACCCTATACAGGGTCGCTATGGGTCACCATCGACTCGACAGCACTTAACAACAACAACACTACAGGGTGATGGCTCTGGTAAATAGCCTCACACAGCCATCCTTTTTTGAAATTGTATCTCTTGTTTATGAAAGGGGCTTCAAAAACTTTGTGAAGAAATTCTTTCTATTCCATTTTTCCATGAACTTTTTGAAGCTCCCCCCACTCAATTTACTAGACTTCATTTATGTTCTAAATCAGAGCTTCTGAAATTTTAAGCTTGCATTGGAATTACCCAAGGAGTTTGTTTCAGTAGTTCTGGGATAGGACTTGAGATACCTTTTTCTGACTAGCTTATACCTGATCCAGTACTGCAGGTTCATGAACCCACTTTGGTTGGCAAGGTTCAAGATGATGTACATCTCAGAAAGAGTCTGTCATAGGACTTACATCATATATTATGATTTTTGTTAACTGTTATGTGCTGTTGAGTCAGTTCCGACTCACAGTGACCCTCTGTACAACAGAACAAAACACTGCCCAGTCATGTGTCATCCTCACAATCGCATATATCGTATTACCTAAAACATATTTTATAAAATATCTAATTACATGACTTGTCATTGCTGTTTAGATAGTGAGATTTTCAAGGACAGTGGCTGATAACAGGGGACATAGAGAATGTTGAATAAATGTATTCATGAATGCATGAATGAATCATGTGTTGTAATAGCATACCAAGCTGTCATTTCATAAAAATTTCCTAACTCCAGTGTTTTTGTGAGCTATGTAATCATATGCTTGTATAATAATGCTCACTTTTATTAGAAACTGCCTCAGCTGTCAAGCTTTCTAGGACTTCATCCTTGTAAATTCAATGTAGTAAAATCTTAGTGTAAATGTTTAGGTTCATTTGACATGATTTTCATTTAATTAGAAAATTAATATAAACTGGGGATTTATATTTAAAAAATTAAGCATTGTTGCATTGTTACCATTTAAAGATTGGTAATTGTCATTCTTTATATTGAAGAAGCCAATCTTGGATTTGAATGTAAATCCTAATTTTCTGAAACTTTCTTACTAAATTTTTTTGGTATAGATTTTAATTATACAATGGTTGGTATTCTGAGCTTGAATAGTTTAAGATTTTTACACACTATGGATATTTTTTTTAAAGCTTTTATTGTGAATTGAGTGATAGTTTACTTGGGAGAACATCAGTTTTATACTCATCCTATCGTATTTCGTTTCATTGCAATGATTACAATACCCTCCGTGCATCATTGGTATTTGCTTCTTCTATTCCCTCTGCCTTTTTTTTTTTTTAATGCTCACAAAAACACTCAGGAATATGTAATTGTTTAAACAACCAAAGGGCACATTCTGCAAGCCTGCCTCCTGGCCACCAGCACACAGCCTTTCTCTTTCCATGATCCGAGAGTCCTCAGCTGCTCTGTACCTTCAAGTCCTCATCTCTGCTTCCATCTCTGGTGCCACTGCTTCTCTGGATAGGGTTCCACATTCTGTTTGTGCTCTTTTCCCTTGATATGGTCCTAGGGTCCTCTGTTCCTGGACTGTAAGAGTAACTACTCCCCCCTTTTTGTTACAAAACTTCTACCTTTACAATTGTGACAGTCACAATTAGTCATGATAACAATTACTCACTATTGAATCATAAGAACCTTATCCCATATCCTTACACCAGACCCATCTAAACAAGATGAAAACTATCCAGTGGGGATTCTACCTTCCCCTACACACTATGGACTTTTAAATCGTGATTCTAA